CTCAAATCCCCAATGTCCCCGATGTCCTCAAATCCCCAATGTCCCCGTGTCCCCATTCCCAGTCGAGCGCCGGCGCCGGGACAAGATCAACAACTGGATCGTCCAACTCTCCAAGATCATCCCCGACTGCGGCGCCGACAGCGGCAAATCGGGGGCGGTGAGGGGGCACTGGGGGGTCCGGGGGGGAAGCTGGGGTGGGCTGGGCTGATTTTGGGGGGTCCCAGCCGATTTTGGGGGGTCAGGGCTGGTTTTGGGGTGGTCCTGGGGGGGGTGGTATGGGCTGATTTTGGGGTGTCCCAGCCAATTGTGGGTGTCCCAGCCGGTTGTGGGGGGTCAGGGCCGATTTTGGGGGGTCAGGGCCGATTTTGGGGCGGTCCTGGGGCAGGGGGGTGTGTCCGGACTGATTTTGGGGGGGGGGTCCCGCAGAGCAAGGGGGGGATCCTGTCCAAGGCCTGTGACTACGTGCGGGAGCTGCGCCAGAGCAACCAGCGGCTGCAGGAGACCTTCAAGGAGGCCGAGCGGCTGCAGATGGACAACGACCTGCTCCGGCAGCAGGTGACGCCCCGAACCGCCCGCCCCGCGCCCCCAAAACGCCCCGAAATTCCCCCAAAACCGCCCGCTTTGGGGTGCAGCCGGACGAACGGCCTGGCCACGCCCCCTCCCGGAGGCCACGCCCCCTCGCCCTAGTGACGTCGAAGCTCCGCCCCCTCTGGCCACGCCCCCTGCGGGTTCTCACGGGGGTTCATTCATAAAGGGGCGGGTCGGGGGGGGGATGGAGGGAGGGAAGGGGGGATGGGGGATCCCTCGGGGGGGTGAAAGGGGGGTGAGACCCCCGGCCCTGACCCCCCCACCCCGCAGATGGAGGAGCTGAAGAGCGAGAACGCCGTACTGAGGGCGCAGCTGCAGCAGCGGGGGCTGGAGGGGACCCCCGAGGGGACCCCCCAGTGACACAGCTGGGGACACCCCCCGGGACCCCCGGACACCCCTGGGGACAGTCATGAGGGGGGGACACGCTTGGGGACAACCCCTGAACGGACCCCCAGTGACAGGGGGGCTGGGGAGACACACTGGGGGCCCCCCCCGTGGACTCCCCCCCAGTCATGGGGGTGACACCCGCCTGCGGACACCCCTGGGACCCCCGAGGAGACCCCCCCAGTCACGGGGGAGGGGCACCTGCGGACACATCCCCCGCCCCCCACACAGGGACACGACCCCTGTTCCCCCCCCCGCCCCGGGGACGCCGCAGGGACCCTCCCGTTCTCCTCGGGGACCCCCCCAGGCCACGCCCCCCCCCGGGACCCCGACCCCTTCGCCCCCTTTGTAATTACCGTGATTGTAATTAATTAATTGTTTTGTACTGCCCGGGCGGGGGGAGGGGCGGCCCCTCCCCCCCCTCCGGTTTTTTTGGTGGGGGGAGCGTGGGGAGGGCGGGGGAGGGGTCGCGGGGGGGGGAGGGGGAGGAGGGGCTGCCCCGGGAGCCAAAAAAAAAAACCGACAAAAAAAAAAAGAGGCAAAAAAAAAGTTGAATTTTGGTCGTTTGTGGGGAGGGGCCGCGGGGGGGGGGGGGGGGGGGGGGGCCCCCCCCCCCCCGGGGACACCGGCCCCCCCCCCCCGGTCCCGTCCCCCCCCCCCCGGGGACATCGTCACCCCCCCCGTGTCACTGTCACCCCCCCCGTGTCACTGTCACCCCCTCCGTGTCACTGTCAGCCCTTCCCGGTGTCCCCCCCCTCCCCGGTGCCACCGTCCCTGTCACTGTCACCATCCGTGTCACCGTTGCTGTCCCCACCGGGGCCGCTGTCCCTGTCCCCAGCACTGTCACTGTCGCTGTCCCCGTCACCACCAGTGTCACCGCTGGTGCCACCCCGGTGCCACTTCAGTGTCACCGTCGGTGTCACACCAGTGTGACATCGGTGCCACCACCAGTGTGACATCGGTGCCACATGGATGTCACATCGGTGCCACCCTCCTTGTCACACCGGTGTCAACTCTGTGTCACCATCAGTGCCACACAAATGTCACCATTGGTGTCACCATCAGTGCCACACAAGTGTCACCACCGGTGTCACACGGGGGCCACATCAGTGCCACCATCGGTGTCACATCATTGTCACCATCACTGTCCCAGTGCCACCACCATCGGCACTGCCACCGCCCCTGTCACCATCAGTGTCACCTCAAGGCCACCCTCGCTGTCCCATCGGTGTCCCCATCACAGCGGTGCCACCCTGGCCGCCCCCTCCCGCCCCCCCAAGGCCACCGTGCCCCCCCCCGGCCGGTGTCCCCCCGGTGTCCCCGGCGCTGTCCCCGTGTCCCCGCGCTGGCGCCGCTCGGTCTGACCCGGGGGTGACCTCGGGAGGGGACAACAAACATGGTCAGGGGCACTCGGGGCCCGGGGGAGGGGCGGGGGGGGGGACAGGAGGGTCCGGACACCCGAGTGACCCCCCCCAATAGCTGAGTGACCCCCTGGACACCCGAGTGTCCCCCCCCAAATACCAGAATGTCCCCCCCAAAATACCTGAGTGTCCCCCCCGGACACCTGAGCTCCTTCTGGGGGGGTCCTGCACACCTGAGCCCCCCCGGGACACACCCGGGCATTCTCCTGGCTCCAGGGTGACCCCCCCAAAATACCTGAGTGTCCCCTCCCACACCCAGGTCCCTTCTAGGGGGGTCCTGGACACCTGAACCCCCCTGGACACACTTGGACCCCCTCTGGACACACCGGAGCATCTCCCCGAGTCTGGAGTGTCCCCCCCAAAAACACCTGAGTGAGCCCCCCAAAAAACACCTGATTCCCCCCCAAAACCACCTGAGTGTCCCCCCCCAACACCCGGGTCCCTCCTGGGGGGTCGCGGACATTTCGACCCCCCC